TATGTCTTTTTTTTAATTCCACGCGGACGGATTCGCAGGCGACTACTAGTAATTATAATATTATATAAATACGAAAGTTTAGATTGATGGTTATTTCTAAGAAGGTATCTCCAGAACGGCTGCATAGATTTTGCTGAAATTTGGCATAGATGTAGAATATAGTCTGGGAGAACACATAAGGCACTATTTTTTTTTTAATTCCGCGTTCCGAACAGTTAGTGCTCAATATTATCAGGTATTCTTTTTGAAGTAAGCCTATTTAAAATGTGTTATTAACGTAGGTTTATTTTTCAGGGTAAATGGATAGTGGAGAATCTTGGACCTACAATTCGTAACTCCTGTCATAAAGATACCAAAATCCTTGCTCTTGATGACCATAGATTTACGATTGCCACTGATTTTTATGACGTAAGTTCATGTTCGATTTATTTACTTCACTAATTACGATGTTTTTAGTTCTTCCATGTAAGACATTTTGTTGTGATTGCATCTTAACTTAATTCTCACTAATACTATAAATACGAATGTTTGGATAGATGTATGTTTGTTTGAACATATCTCCCGAACGGGTGAATAGATTTCGCTGAAATTTGGCATAGATGTAGAACATAGTCTAAAAGAACACATAGGCTACTAAGTAAGTTTTTATTTCATTCCCCGCGGTAAGAGTTGTGGGCGACAGCTAGTATTTTATACAAAAAGAAACACTAAAGATGAAAGAGTAATTTTCTACAACACATATTCATATTTTTAGTCATTATTAATTGCAATCCTTTGGCGCGAATGGCGCTCATATGACAAATTCAAGTGTCAGAATGATTAGTGAGGGGACATAGACGTCGACATTTTAGTAAGGCTAGTGTTGTGCCAACCGGTATGGTACAAAGTCGGATTTTCTTCCTAACAATACGTATCACATAAATTGTTTTAACTACGCCTAATTCGCAGATAATCAGAGACCATCCTAAAGTGTTGGACTACATTGATGGATTAGCTCTCCATTGGTACTATGACAAGGACGTACCGGTTCAGACTCTCCAGAAATTTCAGCAGAACTATCCAAACTTATTTACATTATCCACTGAAGCATGTGAAGGTAAACCATGACTCCTATTTTCCTATAATATAATCTTACTAATATTATAAATGCGAATGTTTAGATGGATGGATGTTTGTTTGAAGGTATCTCCAGAACAGCTGAACGGATCTCGATGAAATTATGCATACATATAGAATAATCTGGAGGGAACATAAACTACTACATAAGTTTTTTTTTTTCGTTCGAGTCGCAAATTTTCGTTCGAGTTGCGGGAGACAGCTAGTCTTACTATTTTTAAGAAGGTATCTTCAGAACATTTTCATGGATTTCGCTGAAACTTGGTATAGATGTAGAACATAGTCTGAATGAACACATAGGCTACTTAATATTTTTGTTTTTAATTCCGCGTGGTCGTAGTCGCGGGCAATTGCTAAAATACATAAAGATGGGATATGTAAATCTGGGATTGTTTATTTCTATGGCTTACAGCTTTAAGTTGATTTTTGTCATAATTATTAAGAGATGATTTATATATTTTGATTCCAGGATACCAGTCGTATGCAAAGAAGAAAGTAGATCTAGGATCGTGGCAGAGAGCTGAAAATTATATTAAAGATATCATTCAGGTTAGTATTTTATTCGTAACATGTTTAAAGTAAAATTATATTAGATAGTAGCTATACTTTTACTGATAAGAAGAAATAGAAGTACGCCTCATTTAGTTGGTGTATAAAAAAACAGATTATTTTACCCAACGTTGTGTTACACTTTGTTTGGTTACCTTCTTTGGTTGATCGGCTACTATCTTTAATTGCGAGCGACCGGAGTTGCGGTCGACAGCCAGTCCCTACTAAAATTAAAATTAGTCCCTTACTAATTATCTAATTAATAAAATTTTTATTAATTATTTACATCCTTATACATATATATACTTATAATACATAAACTCTTAAATCTA